CTCTTATACACATCTAGATGTGTATAAGAGACAGCCTCATACCTCCCCCAGTACCCCCTACACCACCCGTATGCCCCGCCATCCTCACCTTGTACCCCCCCCCGTACCTCCCCCCCATTCCCAAAAGTTTCTCAGCGGATTTGGGCTTTACTCAGCAAGCAGTACAGCCCCCAACTCAGTGGATGGCTATTTTCTGATTGGTCGGCAGACCACCAACTGGGCGGCCCTACTGGTCGGCTGCCATACGGTCGACAGGTACGCAACCCTGTATTCAGCCAACCTTCCCACACGTCCTTCGATTATCACTGTGGGAACTGTGGTCGATTTTTTTATCCTTTCTCCTGTGCTACTTAGATCTTTTCCTACGACCCAGCGAGCCTTCTATGGGCCTGTGATAGACCTCTTCCTTCTCTCTCATGGGCTGCACCCACGGCACGAAGGAGGAACGGGTGTGGCAAATATAACGTCTCTCTCTGCCTACTCGATCCAAGGGTGTACAGCGGCAGTTCACAAAACTCTTACCCCAGCTTTAATGCTTATTTCCATTGACAAAATTCAAAAAAAAAAAAGCAGGGATGTCGGGTAGGTTTCACTGTATCAAGGAACAAATTTAATATGTTTTTGCCTGTCAAACCATATTTGCGCAAAACAGAATCTTTACAATCAGAGGCACTGTGGCATACTGCGCACCACACGCGTCCGCAGGACCCGACCAGGAGGAACAAGGATAAGTAAGGGCCCTCCAGGCCCTGTGTCGTTTCAGCCTAAAAAGGGCCCTCCAGGCCCTGTGTCGTTTCAGCCTAAAAAGGAGGGCCATTTTTAGGCCTTCTTAAAGTCGACCTTTCCTGAACTTAGGCGCCAGACCAGGGATAAGCGCAGGCCATTTTTAGGCCCTCTTAAAAACAACCTTTTTTGGAACTTGGGCGCCAGAGGCTGTTGCCATTCGGCATTGGCAAGAGCAGCCTCCCAGCCGGACGAGCGCTATATATCGCTGGTCCGCCTAGGAGGCAGGTAGGTAGTTCTACAGGGAGTCAGGAGGCAGTCTTCGGGATTCGGCAGCATCACTCTTCGGAGCGTTGCAGTAGTAGTAGTAGTAGATGACGGTAGGAGTAGTCTTCAGCGCTGGGCGCTGCTAGGACCTTAGAGTAGCGTTGAGAGGGAGGAGAGTGGCGGAGGCCAGGGAGACTTACCTGGGAGCTTACCTGTGACGCCATAGCTCCAGCATCGTCGTCGATGTACCTGCAATAAGGTGCCACCTTCACAGGTTAGTACCTGGCACACACACACACACACACACACACACACACACACACACACACACACAGAGAGAGAGAGAGAGAGAGAGAGAGAGAGAGAGAGAGAGAGAGAGAGAGAGAGAGAGAGAGAGAGAGAGAGAGAGAGAGAGAGAGAGAGAGAGTTCTTCTTCTTCCTCCTCTAGTCCACCATCTCTCCCTCACCCTCTCGCTACCTGACTTCTCATTATTGACAGACTACGAGAGAGAGAGATTTGCGACTTTGAGATTTGACGACATTTGGATTCAGATTTGACATTGGGACAGAGATATTGGATGGGGGATTATTTGGGACCTATATCAAGACCAGGCAGTCCACAGCCCGGCAGGCCCCCGGTCCAACCCGGTGCATCGCGCTGGGGGTGAGGGTACCGGGAGTCACAGCCATCCACATGATTTGCCGAGACCCCAAGGGCCCACTGCCTCCGTCAAAAGGAAAATGGGGCCTTTTGGACCCCACTTGTTCAAAAAAATGGGCCGCCGCTAATTTTTGGAGATCAGCAGTGGAGAACCACTGGATATTTTCTTTCTACCACGAGGGGTCCAATAGGCCGCTGTTCCTTATTTTAGCAATGTGCGGTACCCTCATCCTCCCCTTCCTCTTTGTCTGATCCCCCCCTTCCTCATCCGTGTATGATCTGAGCCTGGTGCATTCTTCCTGTGTGTAGCGCCAGGCCCCTTCACACCTCGCGATGATGATGATGTATGTTTGGTCTGCATTGTGACATTGATTTAAAAGGGCCTTTATGAATTAGACCCCAGATGTATGCCCAACAGCGAGGGGCCCTGTCGGCCAGAACTTAAATTGACGAGCAGCAACCCAAAAGACAAAGTTCCTGAGGCAGATGTCGCATCCATAATGAAGTGGAAAGTCATTTTGAAAGGTCACAAACAGGTCCGCACGAACAGGTATCGGACACAGTTTTTTCAGGACGGAGTTAGGGTCATGTCTCCTCGATGGAAAGTCGTGTCTGTTCGGCAATGAGTCAAAGGCTACAGTCCCAGTCCAGTCATAGTCCCACGAGTCAGTCCTGATTCAGACCAGGATTCCAAAAGACAGGCCCGATGGCCCAAAGCAGCAGCAGACCATGGGAAAAGATACTGGGGCACACACTTTGCAACAATCGGTACTGGGCAGGAGTGCCAGGCACGTTTGAGGCTGAACGCAGGCCACGGCAGACCAGTCCAGCACTATAAAGGACTGGCCAGCCTCCCATTTGGCAGATGCTCACTTTGCATGAGAGTGTGGAAGTGCTGCGGCACTTGTGCGCTGGATGTGTGTGAGCTGCGCTAGGCTGAAGAGCAGCGCTATGTGGGAAGGAGGAAGAGAGTGCTGGCTAGAGGGAAGGCAGCCATAGCTGCGCAAGCACTAGTTAGTATATTAGAAGGGATAGTCAGTAAGAGATACCAGTGAGTAGTATTCAGAGTAGATCCTCGTGTGATAGGGAGTGTGCATGCATGATGATTGAGAATAGACCAGGACTATAGACATAGAGGGAGAGAAGAAGGCAGACGAGAGAGGGGGAAATGTGAGCTATGGTGGCACTTACCTGTTGAGCGCTGTTGTTGACATTTGGCAGCTGGCGCTGATGAGTGCCAGGCTTGGAACTCATGTTGATCGAAAGAAGACTTGTAACCCTGTTCAGCGTTATAAAATTTGAACTCACGATGTTCTCTCTCTAAATTTGGGTTTGTTAATTGAGTCGAGTTTCCTGGTTCTCATTCATCTTCTATTGGCTTTTGTGTGAGACCTCGCCATCTGTGAAGTCAGTGTATATGCATGGTATCGGAGCTATACTTGTTGAGGTGAAGAGGTGTTGGATTGGGATAGAGGGGGAAGTTGCCGAAGAAGAAGGGGCTAAGGAGGAGAAGACTTACCTGCGATTGGAGCGATTGGAGCGCACGTGGAGTCTTCATCAACGGCTACAAAGAAGAGAAGAACCTCCTGCCCCACTTACCTCGATTGATTGCAAACCTGTGTGTTGTGTATCTCTTCCCCCTCCCTTCTGGTGGTCACTGCTGCTGTCCGGACGAAATCTGTCGCCTGGTTTGATCTGATAGATAGGTCTAGAGAGTCAACATCTGGTCGTCGGGTTATCTGTCTGGTCTATCGATAGGTAGGGAAGGAAGGTTGAGTCAGGGAACTGTGTGCTGCCACGTCAGAGTGTAAGAAGCTGAGAGCTGAGATAATCGTGGTAAACTGAATTTGTTTTTGAAGTAAGTTTATCGCCTGGCTACCTTCTCTAACGAAAGTGACCAGACAAGACCAGTGAAGGAATAGACCAGCTAATTAACTAAACAGACAGCAAACAAAGGAAAAAAAAAAAAAAGAGTTCCTACTTTGCATATTGATTAGGAAAATAGTATATATCTTTTGCATTACCCGGACATGACGAGATGGTATCGGAACACTGATCTGTATAGGATCCGGGTGCTACAGGATAAGGAGGACTGCATAGTATACCAGCCGGGGACCTGCATTACTGATCTCCCCTTTGACCCGGAGGAGTGGCAGTGGCCCCCCGCGCGCAGAACCCCGAAGACACAAAACGTGAAGCTCTACAGCCTGACAGTGAAGGCCACCTATCGTTTACTGCGCCCTAAGGTGAATTTGAAAGATATCGTAAAAACCCGTTGGAGATCCCATCTGAATGTCGGGGTTGACGCCATCCGCCCCATTCGGTGAATGTCGGGGTTGACGCCATCCGCCCCATTCGGTGGTTCTCCCTCACAAGGGCCAAACCTGCGAAGCTAGCCTCACTGCAGTGGCAGATAGAGCACCGCTGCCTCCCCACCAATGACTAGCTAATAGACCGCACCTACCTGGAACAAAAAGGACTGGCACTCCCGTGGTGCAAATAATGTCACACGACATTCCCCTCCCGTAAGATCCCGGAAACCATAGAACACATTTTCTTGCAATGTCCGGGGTCTGTTCTTACATGGCGATGGTGGGACAGGATTTGGAGGCTGCTGGACACCGGAACAAACTGGCCATGGGACTGGAGGGCGATCCTGTGTGAGACACGGACCTCCCCTGCATCTAGTACCTTTGAAGATAACATGTTTAAAATAGGGAGGAGCGGTTATGTGGGCGATCTGGAGGAGACGCTGTATACACGTCATGGAGGGAGTCCGCATAGCCGGGGAG